CATCTGGAGACCTTTCTAGTACTCTGCCAGAGGGGGAATCGATCATGGAGGGGGTTCTTCATCAACCTTATTGCCCTTCCAATGATGTGTGATTAGTTTACCACATATCTACAAGTCCATAGTTAGTAGCTAGATGGTTTTCTCTCTCTTTGATCTTCAATACAATGTTCTCCTCGATGTTCTTGGAGATCTATTCGATGTAATCCTTTTTGTACGGTGTGTTTGTTGGGATCCGATTAATTGTGGGTTTATGATCAGATTATCCATGAATATTATTTGAGTCTTCTTTGAACCCTTTTATGCAACTAGATTGTTATAGCTTTGTATTTCTCTCCGATCTATCCGTTTGGTTTGGTCAACTAGATTGATTTATCTTGCAATGGGAGAGGTGCTTTGTGATGGGTTCGATCTTGCGTTGCTATATCCCAGTGAAGGAAGGGGACATGACACGTACTTGTATTGTTGCCATTAAGGATAAAAAGATGGGGCTTATTCATATTGATTGGATTTACTTTGTCTACATCATGTCATCTGGCTTAAGGCGTTACTCCGTTCTTTATGAACTTAATACTCTAGATGCATGCTGGATAGCGATCGTTATGTGGAGTAATAGTAGTAGATGTTGGCAGGAGTCGGTCTACTTGTTTCGGACGTGATGCCTATATACATGATCATTGTCTTGGATATCGTCATGATTATTCACTTTTCTATCAATTGTCCAACAATAATTTGTTACCCATAGTATGCGATGCTCAAGAGAGAAGACTCTAGTGAAAACTATGGCCCACGGGTCTATTTTAATCATATATTAAAATCCAAAAATACCTTGTTGCAATTTTATTTACTTTATTTTATTTTGTGTTTTTGTTTATCTATCGATCACTAAAAGCTTTGATCTTTGCAAGTAACCGCCAAGGGATTGACAACCCCTTGTTTCGTTGGGTGCAAGTATTAATTATTTGTGAGTAGGTGTCGCTAACAAGGTGTTGCGTGGTTCTCCTACTGGATTGATAACCTTGGTTCTTAATTGAGAAAAATACTTATCTCTACTGCATTGCATCACGCTCTGCTCTTCGAGGAAATCCCAACACAGCTTAGAAGTAGCAACAAGATGGAGGAGGACCCAGAGGAGCTTGTTCTAGGTGATGACAATGATGAAGACATCTTGATGCGCGAGGTCCAAGCTTAGAATTGCAGGTCATGTATGCCCATAAGGTAGTCAAGTCATATGTACGTCATGAGTTAGTGGAGCCGTGTATGATTCATATGAAACCATGTCATGATCATGGCAGTTGTATCGAGTCTTTTGTAATGCAAACCACACATGGGCCTTACATCACGATGTAGTGGCTAATTTGCAAAACAAAATAGTTCAATTACTTATGATGGTGTGTACGTGCTTGAAGCAGATGACCAGGAACAGTTTCACTCAGTTTTTTTCAGTGTGTCTGTGTGTGTTGAGTTTTGTTGTATGCATCCTAATCATGAAGATGTCTGATGTTTGCTCCCATACTTTGTATTCATTTGATACTACATTTTAATTTAACAAATGTGTCATTTTTAAAAAATAAATAAATGATGCATACTCATTTTATTCCAGCTTAACTTCTAACCGACCTCAGTCGCCTTTCATTAATCTGAAAAACACGTTATATCCATGATTATACAGTGGTTGATGTTTAGACTGCCTAGCTTCAATAGCATAGGACAGTGGTCACCTACCTAAATGAGACCTGCTATTACAAGCCATGACAGGGCTAGTATTGGATTCCGAAGAGTAAGCTCTAGCTGTATTATTGTGAGCCCTGCTATTAAGCTCCCTGAAAATACAAGAGTAGTTGTCTGAGTGTGGCCACTTCAGAAAAATCCTACTAAATATGTAGTAGTACATCACTGTACGTTGCCACATTGATTGAAGAGAAGAAAAAAACAATAAATGTTGGGACGCGGACGTACGTGCTGGTGTGAGTCGCGCGCAAACGTAAGTAAGAGAGCTCACGCCATTTCGCACTATTGAAAACATGGGCGTTGGACACGCTCTAAGTGCAGGCCTTGCGTCGCCCATTATTAAGTGCTGCTTCTAGCACGCTAGCGCGGCGGCTAGCTTCAAGCCTTCAACCGCAAACGAGCGGGAAACGGAAAAAAAGCAAGCGGCTTCCGTCGCCATTTCGCTCGTCGTCTTGCGACGACTGGCGCCCGTGCCATGACCGTCCAGGCCGGCAGTCCCGGTGCTTGGACTGTTATCTGTTGCTCGCACACCAAACGCACGTCGCTCTCATCTCATGCTGATGACCGGGCATGCATATAATTGGGTTCACTGTCCAGTTTTCTCTGCAGGCAGCTGTCTCTTTGAAAAGAGCCGTTTAGGCTGGTCACAGAGGGGAGAAACTTAGGAGTAACATCACACACTCCAATACAACTTTGCTTATGTGGCACGTATTTAATGAAGAGAGAGGTGTTTGTGGTAACTAGCTAAGTTACCGGAACATCACACACTCCAAGAAACAATGAGTCTATAACCTAATAAATACATCATTGCATGACACTACATAGATGTTCCTACCCACTATGGAGGTAGTAACATAGTCTAGGAAAGTGTGAAGTTACTAGCTTATGTTCTTGCCCATTGTGATCAGCCTTAGGCGCTACGTGGATGTAGCTGTTTGGTTCCAAAGAGAGAAATCAACGGCGTTGGGAACGTAATCTGAACTGGACGGCCCATGCCCCATGCGGACAGCCAGCTTCGTCCACGCTCATGGAAGTGCTCACATTCCTTTCTTTTCTCCCGCCCACTCTAGTGCTAGCACTTGTAAATGTGTGCTTGATCGAGACTTTGAGGGCGCATCCCGCTCGATTTTCGTCAACATGGGGTCTCTACTCTCTAGCGCCTATTCTATCCAAACCTCACTGTCCTCTGCTAGTTATTTCAGAGCATGCTTGGATACGTTTTAGTCCCATGACTAAAAGTAGTGGGACTAAAACTTGCTAGTCTCACCCATGCTTGGATCCAAGTACTAAAGAGACTAAAATCTAGTTATTGAGCATTTATTATCCTTCAAACCCTCCAATCCAGAACTAAGGAGAAGAATTAAATAAGGAGAGAGAGAGCTAATACATATTTTAGTAGGTTTCCTATGACTAAAAGATTTTAGCCTCAAGACTAGTCCTAGCCTCTCTTTAGTCAGGGGTGCTTGGAACTTTAGCCTCTAAAAAAGACTATTTTTAGTCAGACTAAAAATAGTCCCTTGTATCCAAGCACCTTCTCAGTGATTCGTGGAGGCACCAACTCCCGGCGACGTCACCAGCTCCTGTAATCAATCAAGCATAACCAGCACTACAGCACTTGGGAACAAATGATGTCCAGCTCTCATGGTGTCTGCCGATCGAGCCACTAGCGACTAATCAAGGTGCATGCACGCACACGCCATGGTGCGTGCCGGCCCGGGGAAAGAACAAGGCCAATAAGTTAACAAGCGTACTACTACTAGTAGTAGTATTAAAACTAATTAGACAAGACTTCTCTGCAAGTGCGGCAACACACACATGTCCGGGGGGGAGGATTAGCCGGGCAAAGACAGGGAGCGTGTTCCCTCCCCGCGAGGCCATGGATGATGGATGTGCTTTCTCGCCCGGCCCAGGTGAGGAGCATGAGTAACTAGTGCTGTGGGTTGGTGGCGCCTTGCCCTCCGTCGGCTCTCTCCTCGGCCCATCTTTTGCGTGTTTCTTCTGCCGGTGCCGGCACACTTTTGTTCTGGTTTTAGGTCGATGGCGACCGGCCTGATTACTGCCGGAATGAGTGCTCTGGAAATGGTAAAGGGCGCCCAGTATGAGTGGCTTAGCTTTAGACAACATGACTTCAGTGTGTTCTTCAGATATCTCCCTATAGTACTACACTAACTGCGGCGCTGCACTTTCCAGGCACCCAGTATGAGTGAGTGGCCTAACTTTAGGCCGTTCGATTGGGCTGGAATGTGCAGCTAGTGCCGATCTGCCGGTGCACTCTAAAGGAATTTTCTCTTCAGCTTAAACGGCTCACTGAACCCTGATAAGCTATGCCGATCGTCGTTAACTTGCTAGCTAATCATATCATCTTTCCAGAAAAAATAAAAGCTTGTAATAATACTAGCAAATTGCACTCATTCGAGGCACAGAAGAAGGCGGAGCCGGCACTGGATGATCCCACTCGAGTAACCTGTGCTGGTGTTCTTTAAACAAAAACAAAGGTGCTCCGCGGGTGATCTTTTAAGCCTTATGCATCTCCACTTTGCACGCATGGACATTCCAGTCCCAGACCTGCTGAGTGCCGAGCCACACACAGTGCAAGAATAGGCAGAAACACCAATATTCAGTCCACACACCGCAAGTCTCCATTCTTTTAAGCCTTATGCATTTCCACTTTGAACGAATCAACATTCAGTCCCAGACCTGCTGAGCCACACACACACACACACACACACTGCAAGAATCAGCAGAAAACATGATTAAATTTCAGCTTCATAAATTTCAGGTGAACATGATCGACGAAATAAAGTGATAGTTGCAGCAAGATTGGCCTGCAGGGTGAATGACAGGGCGCCTTCTTAGCAGAGATTTAAACCAGAAACACATGAACATTTCCAGGTGAAAACAAACCATCTTCATGGAACATCAAAGATGACTTATAAGATGTAACACCATGATATGTCGGATTTCTCGATTCCGTAACTTATATCAGCCTAGTTGTCAAATTTGGCATGCTTCGGGTTCTGCGAGGACTTTATTTTCTACTAATCCTTAATATGTCCATAAAGGTTACTACAAATCCAGGACCCAACTACCTTAGTATGTATCTTAGTAATTTACAACTGGAAATAGAACCCTTGTAAGTATTTCAAGTCACACAACACAACATTTTAACCTACATGCTGTCACATTTACATGAATATCTTTTACATGCCGGGCTTGTGCATTCTAGCCAGAACACACAGATTTTTACTGCACAGAAGGAATGCTTGTAGATGTTACAATACAAATGGAATGATAGCATAGCGAGAGCGGGGGTAGTCTTCAAACTTTTGGAGGTACCACCTATGAGTTTGTACTGCTGCAAATGACAAGTTTGTTATCTGCACAAAATGGAAAGTTTAATCAGCTGGAATGATAGAAAACACTGAAAGGATACAATAATCACGAGTTGATGCGATTCTGAATGCAACTCGAACAGAACTTAGTGAGGCATACCACAAAAATGAACAGGAACCACACTGAAATGTCTGATCCGCCACTAGCTATCAACATGCCCAAATATATAACCTGTAAAACAAAAAACAGCCATAGATGCTAATGAGATACCAATTTCAAATCCTTAAGAGTTTTTTTTTTCTGCCAGCTGCTCGGTGTTATAGTACTATATATATAGTCATGTAGCCTTTTGTATTTACCCCATTGTAAAGGGGTTTTCTGCATATTTCCTGCACTTGTACATGTATATATACTGGCCTATGGCCACAAGGGAATACAGGTTGCATATTTTCTAACACTCAGCACCGAGTTGGAGTGAAGGCAAACCACAGAAAAGAAAAGGATTATGCTAAAGGATTATCCTATTATGTTAGGTTCACTTACTCAACAACAGTGGGATAATTTGGAACTCTCCCCGTGATATAATATTTTATCATTTTAGGCTATTTACAGATTGTTTGGTTTAAATGTAAGGCTGCCTACTCCTCTATGGGAAATTTATATGGTCAAATGTCATTCTGCATCTGTGAATTAGGCTGGCAAAAAATGGCGAACCAAACAAATTTGATAAGTTTGTACTTTGTAGTAACATCAAACAGTGCATAAAACAATTCCATCAGAAGCAACATAAAGGTTTTCTGTCCTTCATCCACTCCCGCCAGCGATCAAAACCTGATCAGGAGTTGCGCACAGCAATGCTTCACCAATGAAAATCCATCACAGGACCCTCATTTATGATTTCAATTGACTATCCTAATTTAGATATGATTAGTTTAGTACTCGCATTGTAAAAGCACTGTCAGTCACCAGCCATATTCGTGAAAAAGCATGTGCATGCTGAATACGGGAGAAGAATGGAGGCACTTACTAGTTCAGCAAGGTAATGAGGGCAAGACACACGACTAAACCAGTCATCGCAAGGAATAACATATTCATCAGAATCTTTATTTTCGCGCAACGATCCCTGTCAAAATGGTAAACAGAAAGCAATGGATTCGGAAAAAATTACTAAATCTGGAAGACTCTGGCCCAAGTGTGCAAGGAAAAGATGCTGAATGGTGCAGTTTCTTGCCTGAAGGACATAAATATGCATACCAAATAACCTAAGAGAAGATTATGCAATCTGAATATAAACCTACATGATGCTACTAAGACTCTTAAGAAAAATATGGTATGATCCTTTATGGAGAGTTCCTGATGTTCATTGGCTAAGAAAGTATTTGGGATTGCTATTTTCTACTGCAAAATGAATTCCACTCAATCAAATCTAAAGTAGCAAAACGATTCCAACAAGACATAACTATAGGATTTCAGGAAGCAGGTTTTATTAGTCGTTCCAACTTTAAGTCTCAATACATTGGCAGATGCTTCGTTTTTGAACATTTGTGCTGCAACTCGCATATGTAAACATGTTCACATTCAGACTAGAAACCAACTAATGTTTGTTATCTGGCTCTGGTTCTAGGCTCACTGAAAGAAGCTAGTACTTACAAGAATTGCATGACAACGGATCTGATGGAGGGATCCCCAAAGGAATATAATAGCACCTATCCACTGGCACCACCCCAACTTTAAAAGAGGCTTTAGGAGAGAGGGTGAATCAATGACTAGGTCTGGCATTCTTGCACGACCTTTTACTATGAACTCAACTATTTGACCTCGGATAAAATCTATTGCTTCAGGAAGACAAGAGCTAGCGAGAGATAATGGTGCAGCCGTGTAATAGCTGCAGGAAAAAAATAATTGTAAGTCGATCCAAGTTGTTGCAGAAAAAAGAAAGAGCAATGCAATGATCCTTGTGCAAAGAAACCTTTACTGAAAGACCGACGTTATAAAAAGCAAGAAATCAAAGAATATATGCAAAAAGGTAAAAAAGATAACTGTTCTGTTAATTGATAGGTGGTAAAAAATTAGAACTACATGCCAGTGGTCAAATCATCCAGTAAACTAAAGTATGCTTTAACTTATACTCCCTCCGTCCGGAAATACTTGTCCTAGAAATGAATAAAATGGATGTAATGGATGTATCTATACTTGTCCTAGATACAACCATTTCGAGGATAAGTATTTCCGGACGGAGGGAGTACCATCCACTTGCATATTTTGTTGATAAAGTACAAGCCTGGAACTACAGAAAATAACCATAACAAAACCTAACAGAAAAGGCATGTGATATAATAGAAAGGACTAGAACTCTAGAAGGAAGAAAAGGAGAAAGTATTTAGTCAAGCTAGCATATTAACAACTATGCAACATTCTAGAACAGAATGTTAGTTAACCAATGTGGAACTTACAATAGACCCGTCAGATATCCTACAATGTGCATCCGAGCTGATGGGCTGTAGTGAAACACATTTTCAGTCTCATACAGGCGTCTCAGCACCTGAATTTCCATCAATAGAAGTACAAAGACAGTCCGCCAGACACGATACTTGTGTTCCATGGTGCGCGACAGGACACTCCCAAAAGAGAACGAATTTGACCCAATAAGATGGCTAGCGATTGTGGAGTAACTCGATGGCTCTGGCAACAGCGGTGTCATTTTCATATATGCATAGAAGCATATTGCAAGCAGCAAGCTTGTTGTCACCGCCACTCCCACCACATAGAAATGCAAGAAGTACTTCTGTGGAACTGTGAACTTCTGCAATTTCATAAAGATTATTCAGTTTCTGATGCTTATGAGAACTTGAGTAGAATACAAGACAAATGTACAATATATGCATCAAAAAAATCTACATAAAGATGACAGTTTTACCCCTGGGTTTGGATACACATAGGTACCTGAGAATAACCGATGGGTAGAAACTTTTACCCATGAGTTATTACCAGAACCTGCGCATAATCCGATTTGTCATGAGTCAGCTATTGTTTTAATTTTTTGCCAGAGGTTTACCCATGGGTTGCTTGATTAATATTTAAATAATAAACAATATATGTGACATGTAGGCCGTCAGAGACGTATAACACATATCATTGTAAAGCAGCAAAGAGTAGTAAAAATGGACACAACATAGGTTAGCTTCACAATCATCCAAATATCATGTACTCATCTCATAGTTCGTCTAAAGTATGAAATGTTCTTTTACTTGGAAGGTTGAACCTGCCTCACTCCCAGTTAGTAACAAAAGGAATTTTAGTGGAGCAGGGGCATTTTTACGTCTAATTTCAGTAATTCAAAAAAAGAGGCAGGAGTTTCTAATCTACCCACAATCTCCTTCTATTAATTCAAAGAAAGAGACAGGAGCTTCTCTAATCCACCCATAATCTCCTTCTATTAATTCAAAGAAAGAGACAGGAGCTTCTAATCTACCCGCAATCTCCTTTTCATCCAAGTAATCTTCCGAAATACATTGTATCAAAGTCTTCAAGATAGAGAGACCATTGATTGTCCATGGAGTGAAGGGAAAAGGCTACATTGAACTTCAATCGTGGGTTGATAACACTGCAATTTTGCCTCTTTTCCTTGTAACGCCCTTTTGTACATAATTTTTCAATATATGGAGTAGGGTACTCGTCTAATGCTTTACCTAACCAGATAGCACATTGCATCAAAACTTCAGAACCAACGGCTTTGCTAAGCCCGAATTCTGTCATGACCTTACAGAGTTACGATCCTGCCGAGAGCTGAGGCAGGCTGCAGCCTACGGGAGATGTGGGAACATAAAAAGGCAAAGCGGGAGCCGAGGTAATGATCTTACCGCCTTGGAGGAAGAGGAGGAGGAGGAGGACGGCCTGACGGTCTTGCCGCGGGAGGAGAAGGCCGCGAGGAGGCTGTGTAGAAAGCGGCCGCCGGCGGCCGCGGGGATGGGGAGCGCGGCGGCGAGGATGGGGAGCGTGGCGGCGAGCCAGGCGAGGCACAGCAGAGGCTGGAGGGCGGGCCCGTTCCCCGTCTCCATGGGAGGCAAACCCGCGTTCGCTCTCTCTGTGCTAGTACGCGGCGATCTGCGCGGGTGGTGGGGTGGGGGCACTAGGAGGGAGAGAGGGTGAGTGCGAATCGAAAGGGGAAGGCCACCGGCACGGCACGCGATTCGTTGGCTCGTTGCTTGCTGGACCGGGATGCGTGTTGGCCTTAAAGTGGGAAACCCCCTGTCGTCTCTATCGACCGGCACACGTGAGATGGGATCACAATCTGTTCCTATGAATCGCTAGCGGCTCGGCGTTGGATACAGTTCTCGTCGGTGTAGCGAGCGTCCGACGTAAATTCGTTGCATCCGGCACTTCTTTTTTCGAGGTTATTAGAGCAACTCCAACGCGCCGAATCGTCTGCCAGAGTTTGTTTGGATCGGCGCGGACAAAAACGAAGGCCCAACGCGCCGATTCAAACCCAAAACGCGTCCGCGACGACGCATCTGTGGCCC